CTAGGGCTAAGAAAGTCCTTTGAAAATATTCTTTAAAAAATCCACGCCTAGAGCTAAGAAAGTCCTTTGAACATATTCTTTAAAAACTCCACGCCTAGAGCTAAGAAAGACCTTTGAAAATATTCTTTAAAAAATCCACGCATAGAGCTAAGAAAGTCCTTTGAAAATATTATTTAAAAAATCCACGCCTAGAGCTAAGAAAGTCCTTTGAAAATATTCTTTAAAAACTCCACGCCTAGAGCTAAGAAAGTCCTTTGAAAATATTCTTTAAAAAATCCACGCCTAGAGCTAAGAAAGTCCTTTGAAAATATTCTTTAAAAAATCCCCGCCTAGAGCTAAGAAAGTCCTTTGAAAATATTCTTTAAAAAATCCCCGCCTAGAGCTAAGAAAGTCCTTTGAAAATATTCTTTAAAAAATCCACGCCTAGAGATAAGAAAGTCCTTTGAAAATATTCTTTAAAAAATCCACGCCTAGAGCTAAGAAAGTCCTTTGAACATATTCTTTAAAAACTCCACGCCTAGAGCTAAGAAAGTCCTTTGAAAATATTCTTTAAAAAATCCACGCCTAGAGCTAAGAAAGTCCTTTGAAAATATTCTTTAAAAAATCCACGCCTAGAGCTAAGAAAGTCCTTTGAATGTCATTAAAAATTTTTCTTTAAAAAATCCACGTCTAGATGTCTGTCGGTCCTTAGAGCTCTGAATGTCCTTGACAAAATATCTTTTTTTTCTCTTTTTTTCAGAAATTCCTCAAGGTAGCTGCCAACAATCAGCAAAATCAGTTGCCACAGCAGCAACAGTCACAACAGCAGACTCTTCAACAGGACGCAACCCAACAGCGTCTAAAACAGCAGCAGCAACAACAACACTCCGATTTCCTCAACACCGATTTTGATAGCATCAGCAATCCTACAAATCTCTTTGATGAACAAAATCTGGAAAATTTCGAAGCCCTTTCGGCTTTCGATATGGAGTTGTCGAAGTTACAGGCCCTAAACGCTGTTACCCTGTGGCAGGCACAACAACAACAAATGCCTTTGTTGCAGAATCTCTTGCAGACCTACAATACCATTAATCAATTTCAAAACTGGCAATTACAACAGCAGCAACAACAGCAGCAGCAGCCAGCGGCTCCACCTCCACAACAAACGGTTCCCAATTCGGTACCGCAACGTTTGAATAACGGTAATAATTTTATCAGCGGTTTTAATTTTAATGGTACCGAGCCCCCCTTAGATCAAGCAGCTAAATTCTATCGAGGATCGGCAGCATTTTGTGAGCCCACCTGTACATGGAGCGGTCAGTTGCCACCGCGTTCGCATCGCCTCTACCAGTTTTCGCCCAAGGTGTTTTTGGGCGGCATTCCCTGGGACATTAGTGAACAGTCGTTGATACAAATCTTCCGGCCATTTGGTCAGATAAAGTGAGGACCCACTATGACATCTTGAGATTTTTATGAAATAAAATTTCTTCGCCTCTTCTAGGGTTGAGTGGCCCGGCAAGGAAGAGGAAGGTACCCAACAGCCTCGTGGCTATGTTTATATCATATTCGAATCGGATAAACAAGTGAAGGCCCTGCTCTCGGCCTGTGCTGTCCAGGCTGATGAACGTCAACATGGTGATGGTATTTTCTATTTTAAAATCTCCTCCAGGCGTATCAAGGCAAAGGATGTGAGTATGGATCATAAAAATCATCTATAAAATGTAGCTAAGATACGAGTATATCTATTTGCTGATTCGTAGGTTGAAGTCATACCCTGGCTAATTGGTGACTCGAATTATGTCAAATCGACTTCCCAAAAATTGGACCCAACCAAAACGGTATTTGTCGGAGCCTTGCATGGTAAACTGACTGCAGAGGGTTTGGCCAAAATTATGGATGATCTCTTTGATGGAGTTTTGTATGCAGGTAACATACCTCCCAAGGGCAATCTGGCCCATATTTTGATTTATTAACAATTTATTTTGTTTTTTATTTCTTCTCCAGGTATCGACACGGATAAATACAAATATCCCATTGGTTCCGGACGTGTCACTTTTAATAACAATCGTTCATATTTGAAGGCCATATCGGCCGCCTTCGTTGAGATTCGTACACCGAAATTTACTAAGAAAGTGCAAATAGATCCATATCTTGAAGATTCCCTATGCTCAATATGCGGAGTACAACACGGACCATATTATTGTCGAGAGCTGAGTTGTTTCAGGTAAGAATCTCAATTCCTAAAATATACTTCAATCAATTTCACGTCACGCAGCAAAAGGAGTCCTTCTGAAAATATTCTTTAAAAAATCCACGCCTGTAGCCATAAGAGTCCTTTTGAACATATTTTTAGAAAAATTCACGCCTGGAGCCATAAGAGTCCTTTTGAATATATTTTTAGAAAAATCCACGCCTGCAGCAAAAGGAGTCCTTCTGAAAACATTCTTTAAAAAATCCACGCCTGCAGCAAAAGGAGTCCTTCTGAAAATATTCTTTAAAAAATCCACGCCTGCAGCAAAAGGAGTCCTTCTGAAAATATTCTTTAAAAAATCCACGCCTGGAGCCATAAGAGTCCTTTGGAAAATATTTTTGGAAAAAGGAGTCCTTCTGAAAATATTCTTTAAAAAATCCACACCTGGAGCCATAAGAGTCATTCTGAAAATATTCTTTAAAAAATCCACTCCTGGAGCCATAAGAGTCGTTTTGAAAATATTTTTAGAAAAATCCACGCCTGTAGCAAAAGGAGTCCTTCTGAAAATATTCTATAAAAAAATCCACGCCTGGAACTATAAGAGTCCTTCTGAAAGTATCCATTAAAAACCCCACGCCTGGAACTATAGGAGTTCTTCTGAAAATATTCTTAACAAAATATTCCTCAACAAATGTTCTTTAAAAAATCTACGCTTCGGACCATAAACGTCCTTCTGAAAACATAAGAGTACATCGCCAAATGTTCTTTAAAAATTTACCATTCGAGTCCCTTCTGAAAAAGTTTTTAATAAATTCACGCCTGGAGTCCTAAGGGTCCTTCTGAAAATAATCTTTAAAACGCCACACTTGGAGCCATACAAATTCTTTGTTGTCCTCTTCGAGGGTCTCCTGTCTATTGAAGATCGTTAAATTTTCTTCCGTCTATAGAAGACCCTAAGAGAGCCTTCTGTCTACAGACCTTTGGGGGCCTTCTGTCCATAGAAGACCCTTAAAGAGTCTTCTGTTCATAGAAGATCCCTAGATGGTCCTCTGTCCATAGAAGATCCTAAGAGGGTATTCAATCTATAGAAGATCACCTAAATGACTTCTATAAACAAAAGACTCCCCAAGGGTCTTCTACAGTCTATAAGAGACCCCAGAAAATTATGTCACTAGAAAACAGCAACGAATGTTTTCTGTCTTTATAAGGTCACCAAGAGTGGTCTTCTGTCTGTAGAAGACTTCCAGATCTCTGTCTACAAATGACCATGAAGGGCTCTGGAAGGTCTTCTGTCTGTAGATGACTCTTGGAGGGTCTTATGTCTATAGAAAACCTTGGGGGTTATGTTGTCTTTAGAATATCCTTGGAGATTATTCTGTCTTTAGAAGATCCTTGAAGGTTCTTCTGTTAATAGAAGAGGACCCCATTAGAGGGTCCTTTGTCTATAGAAGACCCTTAGAGGGTTTTCACTTTATAGAAACCCTGAGATGTAGAGGAGAACCTTCAGAAGGCCTTCTGTCCACTTAAGACTCTTATAGAATACCTCTTGAAGTTCGAATGTTTACACAATACCTCTAGTAGGACATTTTTCTAGAGAGGACGTCTAAAAGGTTTTCTACCCACAATGGACCTCCAGAAGAAGATTTGCAGATGACTTCTACTGAAGGTCTATAAAATGGGTTCTTTTTTATAGAAAACTTGCAAATGGTCTTCTGTCTATGGAAAACCGTTAGAGCGGCTCCTACCTATTGAATACCCTTAAAGCGGTTCTTATCTATGGAAGACCCTCAGAGGGTTTCTGTTCTACAATCTATAGAAGACCTTCAGAGGTTCTCGCACCTATAGAAGACCACCAGAGGGTTTTCCGTCTATAGAAAACACCCAAAGGGTTTCATTGTGCAGTATACCTCCAGAAAAACTCTATAGGGTATTCATCTTTATAATTCTATCAATATTACGCCTTCAAAAAATCTCTTGAAAACGTCCAGAGGGTATTCTGTCTACAGAAAACATCCAATGGGTCTTCAGTCTGCAGAATACCTCCATATAAGACGTCTTGAAGATTTCTGGCTATAGAACATTTCTTGAAGACGTTCTGGTTGCAGAAGATCTCTTGAATGATCTCTTGTCTTCAGGCTAAAAGAGACGTCTTTAAGTTACTCTGGTTTAAGACGTTGTCTTGTCTAAGTAGAAGACGTCCAGAAAACCTAGGGAGGTTCTTTTCCAGAGGGTATTCTATCAATATAAGACGTCCAGAAGACTTCGGGAAGGACGTCTTCGGTCTGCAGAAAACCTGCAGAGAGTATTCTATCAATATTTGACGTCCAGAAGACTTCCATATAAGACGTCTAGAAGATTTCTGGCTATAGAACATTTCTTGAAGACGTTCTGGATGCAGAAGATCTCTTGAAGGTCTTCAGGCTACAAGAGACCTCTTTAAGTTACTCTGGTTTAAGACGTTGTCTTGTCTAAGTAGAAGACGTCCAGAAAACCTGGGGAGGTTCTTTTCCAGAGGGTATTCTATCAATATAAGATGTCCAGAACATTCGGGAAGGACGCCTTCAGTCTGCAGAAAACCTGCAGAGAGTATTCTATCAATATTTGACGTCCAGAAGACTTCGGGAAGATACTCTGACTACAGAAAATTTCTTGAAGGCGTTCTGGATACAGAAGATCTCTCGAAGGTCTCTTGAAGTTACTCTAGTTATAGAAGACTTCTAAAAGAACTTTTGGCTCTAGACGACCTTTGCAATGTCTCCTGCATTATGAAGTCATCTTGAAGGTTTTCTGTACGTTTAAGAAGACGTATTTGGGAAGTTTTTGGGCTACAGAAAATTTCCTAAAAAACGTTCTGGATACAGAACAAATCTTCTCGAAGGTTTTCAGGCTACAGAAGACCTCTGGGCATTATTTTGGCTATAGAAGGCATCTTAAAAATTGTTCTAGCTATAGTAGACCTCTAGGAGGACTTTTGGCTGTAGACGACCTTTGAAAGATCTTCCGCTGTAAGACATCCTCCAGAAGGTTTTCTGTCTGGCTAAGAACATGAAGAAGGCATGTGGATGATATTCGGTCACTGTTGAAGATATCTGGTAGGTATCTGATTTCTGTCTAGAAAAGACATCTAGCAGACTTTTTTTCTTTAGAGGATCTCTGTGAGGTCTTCTATCCATAAAGGACCTCTAGAAGTAGACATCTGTCAATAAGCTATAGTAGACCTATGTCTCTAAAAAATACTCCATAAGGTGTTCGGTTCAGAAAAGACGTATAAATTGTCTTATTTTTATAGAAGTCCTCTGGATGTTTTTCTGGAGGTTTTGTGTCCTACTAAGAAGAAGGCCTCTAGAAGATCTTCTGCCACTTTTGAAGACGTCTGGTAGGTCTACAGATGACCTCTAGTAAGTCATTTCATATATGAATGATGTCAATAAAGTCTTTTATTCATATAGGATCTCTAAAATGTATTTATTTATTCTATTGCAGACCTCTTACGGTCATCCATCTGGCTTTATTTTATGTCCTGTATCCTCAGTCCTCAGGAATATTTTCTATCCGTATAAGTTCTCTAATAGGTCATCTGGCTACAGAATGTCCCCAGAAGTTCTTCTGTCTGCAGAAGTCCCAGTTTTGTTAATCCTCCTTTCCTCTCTTTATTTCTCTTCTTCTTCACAGATACTTCTGTCGCTCCTGTTGGGAATGGCAACATTCAACCGATCTCGTCAAATATCACAAACCGCTGAGCAGAAATTCAAAATCACAAACATTGGTCGGAATTGGTCCGGCAACATCGACGGCATCAATTGCATCGAATGCTTCGACACCATCATTACCGTCGATTAATTCCCGCCCAGTATTGAGCTGTCGCCAGACTCCACAACCAACGGTGGCTCCGACACAAACACAGGAATCGTTCAATGCAATGTCGCAGCAGCAACAACAACAGCATCATCGTCGCCAGCCACAGGCTCAACAAACCTCGCAGATTGGTTTCCAATTACCACAGACGGCATCGCAACAACAACAACAACCACAATCAACTCAATCTCAACAGCAGCAACAACAACAGCAACAAATTCCTGCTCTAAATGCCTTTCATTTTTAAGAGAAGAATTGCTCTGAAGGAAATGTTGCTCGGGAGTAAAGTATGAAATGGAACAAAGAGAGAGAGAGAATTGAATGGAGATCCTCTCTCATTATTTTTATAGCCTTATTATTGATTTTATTTCTTCTTCTTGTTGTTGTATATAAAGAGAGTATTAACTTAGTCTTTAAGGTGAAAGACATGTTTAGGTTTTGAATTTTTTTTATCCTTGCAAAGGAATCATACATTTCACACACACACATACACACTCGCCAAAGAGTAATCTCATTATCATCATTATTGGCATTATAAAACATATCAGCATCATTTTGTTTACTGAGAGTCTGAAAGAAAGTGAGAAAGAGAGAGAGATAGATTGTGGAAAATATGATGAAGAGTTTTGTTATGGATCTCAATTTTTAGTTATTGTAGTTACAATAGAAGTTGGGCCTTTAAGTTCGTATATTTGGGGGGTGAGAAAGGATTGCCCACCTACACCCCCTCCCCCGTTTTCTTCCTGTCTAATACGTGTTTTGCTTGTCATGATTTATTTTTTTTGTGTATAATTCTTTGCTATTTTTTAGAAATACTTAAGATTATTTCTAAATTAATTTAGCTTAAAAATGTTTTCAACATTTAGAATTGATGTTTCGTTTAATTTATTCATTTCCTCTATTTTTTTGGAAAATTGCAATTTTTTTGTTAGTAATTTTAATTTAAATTATAGAAAAAAATTGTTATATTTTCCTTATTATTGTTGTTTTCGATGTCCAATGTGTTTGCATTCAATTTATCACTATTCTTGTTATTTATTTATATTTTTATATATATATATTTTTCTATTTTTTTAAGTCTACTTTTTTTGTAATTTATTATTTGTTCACATTATTATGATTATTTTTTTCCTTGGGCTTATTTACCTTCCACCCCTGTTTTCTTCTTCTGTTTTGAGAGCTGAATATATACATATATTTTTTTTGTAATTTTTAAGTTTATTTTTTGCCATATGTGTATGCAGAGTTGTATTTATTTTTTATACAAACAAAAATTATTATTATATATTTCCATGTTTGAAAAATTATTTTGTTTCCAATATATTCATTTTTTTCTAAAATGCAAATATACTCCAACAAATTTTGGATAAATTTTTTTGTTTGTTGTTTTTCTTTTTTAGTAGATAAACGGATAAAGTAGAATGTATTCGAAAATATATTAAAAGTTTCAAAGACTTTTTAATAATATTTACTTACTTAGCTGGCTCGGCATAGAGCATTTGTTCCATAAGCCGAGCTTAAAAATATTTCCAGGCCCGTCAGGTCGAGTGCGCAGTTCTACCAATTTCAGAGACCATGTTTCGAAATGTTATCTTCCCCTTGGTCATTCCTGCGAATTCGTGACCTTCCCCTTCTGCGTGAACCACCAGTAAGATGACTTGTATATGCATTTTGAGCTGAGATATCCTCATCCATTCTCAAAAAATGGCATAGCCACCGTAGTTGCGGCAGCTCGCTACGCCACACTATGTCGATATCCAAGAATAGATGGTACAACTCATAATTCATTCGACGACGATAGTCACCCTCGATGCAGATAGACCCTTTGATCTTTCGGATAATTTTTGCCTTCAAACGCTCCAAGAGCAGTCTTAGCTGCTTGCGAAATTACCCATGGTTTAGATCCATACACTAGCATACACTAGTTTGGTCTGGGAGATGTGGCCTTGTTCTTGATGTGGCCTTGTTACTAAAACTATAGTAGCATCAGTTGGCCAGCACTATTTTTCTCTGGATTTCAAACCTTTACTTTTATTTATGGTGGTACCGCAATGTTCGACCCATTATGTCGATGTCATCGGCAAGTAGCTTGTGCTGTTTGGTGTACAGTGTGCCATTTGTGTTTACATTTGTATCTCGTATGACCTTTTCCAGCAAAATGTCAAAAAGGTCACACGACACAACTGTCACCATCTCTGAATACTCGCTCTGTATTGAAGGGCTACTAGAGGACCTTTCCCACTTTAACTGCTGGCCTTGTGCAGTTAAAGTTATTCGGCATAGACGAATTAATTTTGCAAGAATGCCGAATGCAGACATGACTTTAAACACATCTGAACGGAAGGGCTGTGGAATGCGGCTTTATAGTCGACGAATAGGTCGAATGTGTCGATGTGTTTTTAGTGGGTCTTTTTCAGGATTTGGCGCAGAGTGAAAATCTGGTCTATTGTGGATTTGCCTGGTCTGAAGCCGTGTTGATAATATCATTGGCCATTGGCTTCAGTCGTTCACACGGCACACAGAATGCAAGAGACACAGAATGCCGAGGTTCCAATCAAATTGTAGTAATCAACATAGTTCGGTCCAAAAGACCTTTCCAGAGGATATAGATATGTAACTAAAAGACGTCCAGAAGACTAGGGGAATGGCTTCTGGCTACAAAAAATCTCTTGAAAGACTGCAGGCCGCAGAAGTCGTCTAAAAGTTATTCTGGTTATTGAAAAGACCTCTAGAATGACTTCTGGCCTTTGAAACGTCTTCTGCTTAAAGAAACCATTCTTCTGGCTACAGAAAATCTCTTAAAAGTAGAAGACGTCCAGAAGTCCTTTCCAGAGGATATTCTATAAATATACAGAAAATCTCTTAAAATCGACCTGAGGGTCATCTGTCTTTAGAAAACATATTCAGTCTGCAGAATACCTCCAGACAACCTCTAGAGAGCATTCTATCAATATAAGACGTCCAGAAGACTTTGGGAAGGTCTTCTTACTGCACAAGATCTCTTGAATGTCTTCAGGCTACTGAAGTCCACTAAAAGTTATCCTGGTAATAGAAGGCCTCTGGAAGATACTCTGGCTATAGTAGACCTCTAGAATGATTTCTGGCTGTAGAATGAAAGGTCTTCTGATTTAAGAAGACCTCGGATTTAATAAAAATAAATTTTTATTTAATTCGAAATTTCAACTAAAAATCTCTAATGTTCTTTAAGCTATAGCCGATTTATGTGCATCAAGAATCAGAAGTGAGTCACAAAACGCGATTTTCTTAAAACAGTGTTTTTACGGATGGCGAACACAATAAGTTCAAAACTAATAATCCAATCCGCTCCAAATTTTAACACGTTATTCTGGACCTACATAGCCATCGTATGAATTAGGATAAATGTAATAAGTCAAGATATTCCTTATTTTCCAGCTAGCGTTTTGTTCGAAAAAAAAAACGATTTTCACAAACATAATTTTTCGAGGACCGTCATTTTGCTAATTTTCGATCGATTTCAAATCCTAGTTCATACCAGAGCTAGATATGTATTCTTTCTAATTGGGTTGGGATTTTGTGATTCGAAAATTCTAGATGTCTTCTATAGTCAAAATAACTTCTAGAGGCTTTCTACAGCCAGAATACCTTTCAGAGAACTTCTGTTGCCAGAACGTCTTTGAGAGATTTTCTGTAGCCAGAAGACCTTCCTGAGGTCTTCTTCTTAGTCGTACAGAAAAACTTCCTTTTTAAGTTGCAAACGTCGTTAAGTTCAATCGATTCGAACAATTTATATCCCTCACCATGGGATGGGCAAAATAAAGTCGAACTGGACTCCAATACAGAGTTCAATACAAAACGCGAAAATTAATGTAAATTGTCTCAAAATAGATTCTTACCTGTGAGAAAACAAAACTCAAATCAAAGTCCCATGGAAATACTTATAATGAGCGGAACAATATCCAAAAAAAGTCAACCATATTAAAAATATTCGGTCAAGAGGCATGTTATGCACTTATATCCCGAAATGTCTACTTATTACCATAACATTTCGACCACACAACAACAAAAATCCGAAGGCTAGCTATATCATCGACATATATTGAATATTTTTGTCGAAGAAATTGTTTTAAAAAAATCCTCTATAACATATTCGGATTATAGGAGATCTTAAAGTTTTATGTTGTTTATAAAAGTTCTCTACATTGAACATTTTCATCGAAGAAATTGGTTTGCCAACCCAGAACCTGAATTGCCACAATACACACATCGTTTGAAAAATACGCCTATGATCAACCAAATATTTAAAATGGCACTGGTGTCTGAACTGCGAAGAACCTTATTGCCATATTGCTGGCAAATTGCCGCCACTTCGGTTAGAAAATGCGTCTAGAATCATTGAAATCCTGAAATTTGTCGGGAACTCTAAATTGGCATTAACGAATATAAAATGATTAGAAACGAGGCTATATTATTATCGTAGCATAACTACCAAATGTAGGTATTAACCGATTTTAGATTTTGTGAAGGCCTTGTTACATTTTACAACCGAAATAAATATAGCGGGGTATTCATAGGTTGACCAATGCGGTTTTATACACTTTGATATGGTAATATTGTGCCTCATCCAAATATTGGTGCTAAATCCAAAAAATTATTCTTATAACCGATCGATTTAAGTCGTAAAAAATATTTAGACGACATTTGTATAAGGCTGTCTACTATCAATAAGGTAGAGAGACCAAACTGTTCACATTTAAACTATTTGGCGACTTTATGTCGTATGAGGTATGGCAGAATTTATACGCTATGTAATACACCAGTTAACCACATGGCGTATACATACTGTCAATACTCATACTATATGAAGTACCCTAAAATAATAATCAAATTGTTTAAGCCAGCTGCTTCAATGTGAAAATTTCATTGCATATATAATTTCGGACAGTCCTGGGCAGCCTGTTGTTTGGGAAATCTAAGTTTCTGAGAAACTTCCAATGACGTCGAAGGACTAATGCTAACTCTTTTGTACCCAAAGTCTGAGCTCATATTTAACATATTTAATACCACTTTATATTGTATGAGTTTTGGTAGTATGTATACGCTATGTAATACACCAGTTAACCACAGGGCGTATACATACTGTCAATACTTATACGATATACGAAGTGTCACAAACTAAAAATCAAATTATTTGGCCACGAATATGAACATTTTCATTCCAAAATAAATTTTTTTGTAGGAAACATTTTAATTTCGGGAGCTTCCGGG